GAGCCCACAGTTTGAGTATACCCCTGGACCAAATACTCACAATCACGTAACCAGATCTTAAACTGTCCTGATTTCCACCAAATGGGGCCTCTGACAAAACTTAAGCTTTCTTCATGTCAGCGTCAATCAGCTACACACAAGAAAGCTTACACGGTACTACTACTCTAAAGAGAACGTAAATTTCTAGTAATCACTCACAATAAAAATAAGATGTACTCCCTCGTTCATACTTTATAAACTGAGCTTTAATTGCTGAGAGCCAGGCTTTCAACCACTTCGGGTTTGACGTCTCCGTTTGTGAACAGTTTGTTTCTTGCTCAATAAAATGTTCATATCAAGTAAAGCTCTCTGGATTTTCTTTTGAAAATCCAAAGGACGAGAGAGAAAAGCCCCACAGAGCTGATCCAAATAAGTGGTGATGGAAAAGAATGAAGCTGTTTTATCAGTAGATCCTACCAAAATCCACTCTTTCAAAAATAATGCCTACATGTATTTCTTAGAAATAATGAGGCAAATTACTAGAAGAAACAGCTAAAAGATTTTGGGCAGGAGACTCAGCAACAGAGAAAGGTGGGACAGGGGATTGTCATTTTTTTGGTTACAAGTCTTATTAGAACTACTTTGATTTAAAAAAAAAAGTATAAAGAAATATTTTTAAAGAATAGTTGAAAATACACAGGAGACTGACTATCCTGAATCTGTTTGCCTCAGTTCTATTCCTCTTGGGGACTGACCACCTTTGATTGCCACTGACACCACTCACGGCCCCAGGAGCACTGCACCCTGATTGTACCTCTTTGAAGCTGTGGCTGAAAAGTTGCCAAAAACCTTTTCTTTTTGTCCCTTCGAAACAAGTGAGACAGAAGGGAATTTTCAAACAGATCTTTCTACACCTTAGTAATGGAAAAATGGCTAAGGGGACATAACTATGGCAAGTGCATGCACACTAACACTCACATTCCATAAAAGTGCATAAAAATGGTTTAGCTTACAAAGACAGATTTCTGATCCTTCCAGGCTAACTTCCTCTGAGGCTGGCAGGCCCTACCCATGAATGGGATCTGAGGTGGCTCTGGCGCCTTGCCTTAGTTCTTCTCTAGCTCCTGCGCTGCCTCCACTTGGAGGCTGTATCATAGGGCCCACCACACACCAGTTAGCCTCCTAGACATCGTATCAGCCATTCTAACTCCTGCTCATCTCATTGAGGGCCCTCCCGCTCAGTTTTGGTTTCCACTTAGTGCACGACTTCTTCCCCGAGCTACGTGTAGTTGATGACCTCACCTGCAGAAAAGGCACTGTCCACCTGAAGTGAGTGACTTGCCACTTAGCATATGATGACAGCTTTACTAATAAACAAGGGCTACCACATAGTCCCTATATTGGCATGTCTGCTTCTATTAATGAGAAATATTAGTTTATTAACAGTGGAATGTAACAGAATTTCCTTTTTGGGGGGAAGCAAGAGACATCATCAAATATGGCCAAAGTCTGAAGCCAGAATTTAAAGTACAGAAATAAAAGAACAGTCAGAAACTCTGCAGAGTGAGAAATGAAATAGTTATAAACGAGCAAGTCCACAATCCACAGTCAAAACGATTATCCTCTACAAGTTCAGCCCCATTGATAAGACAGCTGGTTAGGCCAAGGAGGGTGAGATTGGTGAGTGGACCTAACCTGGAAACATACCACCTGTGGAAAAGCTTAGGTTTATATAATTTAACTGCCAAACAACTGACAGAATTTAATATTAAATTTGACTGCCTAAAGTGAGACTGTCTTTTTAAAAACAGGTGCATTACTTATAAAATCTAAAAGAACGAATCTAGCAGTTGTCAACCCTGCGATGAGTGATGGAAGAATCAGGCAGATTTCCTCAAATGATAAGAGCAAAAGGAAATCAAGGGCACGAACGTGCTGCAATGCGGCGTGAGGGCCGCTGGACGACAAGGCCCACTCGACCTGAGCTGAAGGGACACGAGCTGATCACCCCAGGCCGTCAGTCCCTGTTCTCCAGTTCAGCTCTCAGGGAGGTGAGAGAACTAACAGTGACCTGCAGAGAAGGTCTGAAAGAGCCAGACCCAACTATTAACTGTCTTGAAAGGGACCGGGAATGCAAGGAGAGACTTTTTTTTTTATTCTTATACTGTTTGAGAATTTTTAAATAATCTTATACTTGGTGCTATTATTATTTCAATATCAACAACATGATTAGCACAAATCTTGAAACAAAAATAAATGGAGTCCAACTGGTAATAAACATACAAAGCAGGAATTGTCTGCAAGTCTAAGGCATATGTAATGGACAGAATAGGAAGAATCTCAGTTTAGCCATTTTCCAGCTAAACAGCTTGGATTCTCAGGGCTGTTTTCTCATCTGAAAATACTACTACTACCTGCCTTACAGGCTTGGTTTAAGGATTAGAGAGACCATACGCAAGATGCTCAACACAGGACCAGCATTTGGTAGATGCTCAGTCAACAGCAAAAGCCTCTGTTATTATTATCTCCAGACATAAGAATAAAAGAAAAACAGAGGCTCCCTGTGACGCCCAGTAGAGGCAGATCACAGTATTTCAAGATAAAGTATAATAAACATTAAAAATGGATGGGAGACTTCTTAAAAAGGCTAATAGAATTTTCTTGGCTGCAAAAATTATGACTGGGGTTTTCTTTTTCAAAAATTGAGTTCACTCCAAGGAGAAGTTCTATTTATAAAAAATAATTAAAAGATAACGCCAAATAATATTTAGTTTTCAACTCTTAAAGTACTTGTCACAGGAGGATAAAGTGTGGGAGATTAAAAAAAAAAAAAACACTAGCCAAAGTAAAAATAATAGAGTCTCCACTATGCTCCAACACTGTTTTACATCTCAACAATCAGCTCGATGTGCTTTAAAAGGTCGTTTTTAAACATATAAATCATTAACATTTGGCCCTGGTTATATTTTCAAGGCCCCTTAAGGTGCTTTTATATCTCAAACATGAAAAATTGTTTAAACTGGACGATAGTTAAAGGATAGTAGCTGGAGACCTAACTAAAGTAACGAAAAGGAATCACAAACATGCAACTGGGTTTCTAGACTCCTGGACCCATTTTGATTTCACAGACAACTGAGGAGGGCAGTCCCGGTCTCTGTAAAGTCTTCCCTGATCCCTGCCCCCAACCCTCAAGCAAGATTAATCACATTCCTCTGATCACACTTTCTGTTCATCCAAACAAGACTTAACCAGGATGGAACAGTCCCTTGGTTTCCCCCAGGGAGCTAAGAGTTCCCTACTGCCTGACCTACGAATGTTGAAAAGAAAATGACAAAATGCTTAGACCAAGCTCTGTCAAAACACAAAACTCAAGGGACAGGCTGAGCAATCCAGTCAGTCCCGGGCTGCGGCGACATGCCGCTGTCAACGCTGGTTCCCCACCACTTCACCAGAACTTCCCACGGTGGTCCCAAGGGCAAGGCGCACCACTACTGCTCATTTCTTTAAGGGAAAACTCAGCTTCTAGGAAGTCAGTATGTGTTTTTTAAAATGAATTTCCCCCTCGTTCTCACAGCTCTTAAACATTGTAGGCAGTAGTGACGCTCTTGGAAGGCACACTTGGCACAGGTGCCCTGGGCCTGGGACATGATTACAAAACCTCTATCACCAGGAAATAAACAATTATGTCATTCCTGAATGTTTGGGGAGCCATTTAAAACTATGAACAATGATAAAAACAAGTGTATAGGTAAAAAATGTTTAGAAAATGATCCATATCTTAGCTGCACACAAAAGGGCAGTGTAAACCAGGGAACGTGGCATCAATTAAGTCACAAACGTTCCTACTTCTTATTCTGTAGAGTCATGATACAGCTCGCTGCTGGAATTCCTCAGTTATGTACAGCAGCCTGTTCTGCAAGGTTTCTGTTACAATATATGCTAGTAAAGAAATAAATAAATAAAAGCTTTATAACATGAAAAGTTGCCTCTCCGTTTTGATGCCGCATGAGAACCTTGGGTGTCTGACTGAAAAAGGAGGCAAAGAGAAGAACAAGAAGCAGATGCAGGAGATACCAGCCTTGTGGGCAGGTAAGAAACACTATTACCTTCATCATCTCCAGTGCCCAATCCCAGTGACACCAGGCCTGCAATGCGCCAACCCTTGCTGGCCCCTGGGCACGATGAAGCCACCTTAGCACAGACAAAGCAGAGGGCGAGACCTGCTTGGAGGCTCTGCTCACGCTGTCCCCTCCCTCTGTCACGACCAGATGCCTTTCTTCCTCCCTGTCCACTTGCTTTTCAACTCAGTTGAAACATTTCATGCTCTGTAAAGACCTTTTCGACCCCTCCCTCCGACGCCCAGCAAAATCAAATGTCTCTCCTTCAGCAGCCCCAGGGCACTTTTCCTTAACCTCTTTTTTTGAAGCTTGTCTTATTTTGTAGTTTTTTTTTTTCTTTTTTTGTGAGGAAGATCAGCCGTGAGCTAACATCTGATGCCAATCCTCCTCTTTTTTTTTTTTTCCTGAGGAAGACTGGCCCTGAGCTAACATCCCTGCCCACCTTCATCTACTTTATATGGGACACTGCCACAGCATGGCTCGACAAGCAGTGCGTCAGTGTGTGCCCAGGATCCAAACCCGCGAACCCGGGCCGCCAAAGCTGAGCGCGTGCACTTAACTGCTTGTGCCACGGGGTCGGCCCCTGTAGTTTCTTATTGAAGTGCCCGTCTCTCCCACAAACCCGCTAACCTCTTGAAAGCAGAGACCTTGCCTCATTCGTGTTCATCCCGCCCATAGCCGGTACTCAGTAAATGTTCGGCAGAGGATGGATGGGTGGGTGGATGAAGAGGGGATGAAGGACAGCATCCCAAAGCAGGGAGAGTTCTGATGGCAAAAGATATCATGCCCCTCTGCCTACGTACAGGGGAGGGCAGAAATGGGAAGACGACCCCAAGACACGGCTGCCCTACGGGTTCCCGTGTCAAATGATGGTGGCGAACAAAGGTCTATGTGAATCTTTACCCAGGGACGCCAACAGCTCATAATTCATCCGCATCACGTCTCTGTACAGCTCCTTCTGCCGCTTGTCTAGCATGCCCCACTCCTCCCGGGTGAAATACACCGCCACATCCTCAAACACCACCGGGAGCTCCTCAAACACCACAGGAACCTCCTCAAACAGCCCCTCTTCAGAAGGATCCTGCAACAAAGAGCAGCAGTCACTCAGTACGCCTCTCACATCAGACACCTGGCCTGACACTTTCAGGTCCTTCTCAAGGCCCGTTTCTCCTGGGAAGCTCACCAAGAGGCCCAGATGTACTCTGAGGAATTAATTTCTCCATTGAAAGTCAAAGAAGCAAATTCGGGAAGCCCAGAGTTAGCAGGTAAAAACCAAACGAGCCTCAGTCCCACCCTAGTGTCTCCTGGGAGGACATAAAAATGCCTGAAGAACAGGAGTGTTGGTACAGCCTTAGGACTGCATCTGTCCTTCTACTCATCGTGACTGCAGAGGTGACCATCTGCCTCTAGGAGCACTGGCAAAGATTTCCCACTGGGATGGAAAGGAAGAAGTAGTAAAAAAGAACTAAAAATGCTCATATTCAGTGACTAGGTTAACACACGCCTTACTGCTAAAGGAATTCAGATTATAAAAGGTTAGACCTGTTTATTAGATTCTAATATGAAAAAAAGAAGTAACATGAACATGAAGAAAAATGAGCTTTGTTGCTTTTCTGGATTCTGGAAAAGTTCGAACTTGCTAACTTTAGCTGGGCCCTTACGATGTTAGGCATGAGGAACATCTGAACTGTTCTCATTGGAATACTGGAGGGGGTACTCAAAATGATTTGTAGTGAAATCCTACTTATACGGAATAGGTGAGAAATGGGGAAGGTTCCAGTTACTCAAAGGTTCCGGTTAAAACAGTTTCCTTACAATCCAACTTTCCAAAGAATTAAAAAATTACAAAATTAGCCTAAGGTGAGAACCACAGTCTTTTAGGATGCACAGGTGCTGCGGGGAGTGGAGGCAAGCACCAGGCGGGCGGTCACGGCTCTGCAGGGAGGTCAACGCCACACGAGCTCTTGGACTCAGGACAGGTCACTTCCTCCCGTCTCAGTTTTCTCCCAATAAGATGAGTTTAATCAGGCTTGCTCGACTAGCTTCAGAGCAGCATTAGAAACACTACATAAGAGAACGTGTGTGAAGAAACTCCGCAGTGTTTAAAAGTGCTATGTGATTCCAAAGTTAAAGTGGAAATTTTTTAAAAAATGGATCACTTATTGAGCTCTGTGGTTGTGAATTATTTATTGAGTTCTGTGGTTGTTTGGAATTCTGGATGAAGATTATTGTTCTGAATTTAGGCTTCTCCTTTATATTAGAAGTTAGAATGTTCTGTTCCACTAATTATGTTTTGTTATCTGCATAAAGGAGATGATAATAGGGCTGTTGTCTTAAATCAAGGAGATGATACAGGTAAAGCACTTAATGCCTCGTACATTATCAACATGTTAGCTTAGGAGAACATTATAACGTTAGCAGTTAAGTATCGCTATTATTACTTTCTCATCATGGTCATGCAATACATGTTGTTCTCAGTACGGAATCCCTCCCCTTGAGAGACAGCAATCATTATAAACATATTACCTGGTCGCAGGCTTCAGCAGAGTCATTATACAAAATATGAAAGTTCGAGGAGCTATGGACGGCATCAGCGATGTCTTTTTGCCTCAAATCTGAAATGCAGTCTAGATACAATGCAGGAATTGCTCCATTCCCCCCAGGGTCCTCCAGTTCAGCTCTTGAGCTGGGCAGGAGCTGGGCCACATTATCATAGGCTCCTAGAGGCCCTGGGGAGCACAATATGGGATAATCTACAGTGAAGAGGTGCTCTGGGCCAGCTAGTACATCTCCAGACGCATCTCGGATGCTCCGGAAACGGGCTGCCCAGACGGGGTCCCGTGCTGCCAAGGCATTGACGCAGAACATGTGAGCTTTGCTCTTGGCGTGGTATTTGAGAGTCTCCACCTTGAATGGTCCTGTGTAACCTTCTATTAATCTTGACCGCTTGTCTCTGACAGACGGGTATTCTCGGCAAGCAGAGCAGAAAAGAGCCGTCTGCTCCTCATTCACGACCAACCAGGGGAATTGCACAAACCACGACTTCTGGATAGACCGGGGTTTCAAGGGTTTCTTGCTTTTTCCTGCACAGTCTACCTCGATGTTGCCACTCTCAGCACTGAAGTGGGAAAGACAGGCTTTCTTCTGAGGTGGCAGGTATAGCCCAGCTTCTCTGGCTGGACCTTGCACTTCCGTTTCTTCCACGTAGCCCATCTTGTTTTTTCCTTTAGAGAAAAGAGACAAATGGAATTTGTCTGAAATCCTATAGTTAGAGCCATTGCAACTCATGGAGGCTCTCAGATATATCAAATATAAAAGCTGGAAACCACACACACACAGATGACACAGCCTCTACTTGAATTTGCTTCTTTCAGTCTCCCCAACTCCCCAGTTCCACCCTACCTAACCTAGAAGAAAATTGAATGAGCTTTAAGCAAACCCTTTTTTTTTTTTTAATTTAAAGGACAGATACACTTGGCCAAAAAGAAAATCTTTGCAATTTGATCTCTGCAACCTAAGATAATGGCACAATCTTCAGGAGTTTAAACTTATTTATTGATAAGAACACTGAACTAATAGCATTTAGAGTTAAAAAAAATAATTAAAGCCAAATACTGCAACTCCATGCTCAGTAGGAATCCCTTTCTATGGTACCCCTGCCAGACAGGCCTCTGCACTTTTTTTATGTACCTTTGGGGCAAGAGAGCAACCTACTTCCCAGGTCCCCAGAGAGTTTTCCTTAAGCTGCAATCCATCTTTGCATAACTTCCACCCAGGGGTGCTACTGCAGCGCTCAAGAGAAACACAAGTCTAAGTCCTCTCTCATACCACAGCCCTTCAAAGAGGTGAAAACTCTCATAAACTCAGTAAGATTTTTCTTCTTCAAGCTAAACTAGAAGTTTCTTTATTCACTCCTTAGTTGAAATGCAGCTTAGACAACTCTAAGTCCTCCAAAGCCATTTCTTATGCATCAACATAAGTTCAGATGCCCAGTGGCCAAGGACTCAACAGTATCTGCTCCCCGCCAATAGACCAGTCTACAGAATTGAAGCCAACGCCAGGAGCACAAAGCTGCTAATAAAGAGTCAGCAGGCTCAAAGTTAAGAGCCAAGCATGGGAAAACAAAACAAAATGAATTAGTATCTATGTAGTCTAGGGCTCCTTGTGGTCCTTGTGGAGACAGATCACCAGGGAGAGCAAATTTCTGTGATTTGGTTCATAGACGAGCTTGTTTCCACTTCCCTTTTCTCCCATAGTAGGGGCTGGGTTAACTCAGTCATCTTACACACGACAAGATGCCATCTGGCCTGGCTCTAGCCAAGCCCACCCCTGAACAGGCGGGGCTTATCAAAGGAGGAAAGGAAAGACAAATCCTGAGAATGGAGCAGACAGCTATTCATTCATTCATTCATTCATTGGATGATTATCTATTGTGCAACTACTACGTGCCAGGCATTGTTCTTGGCCCTGGGAACACAGCAGGAAATAAGACAAAGTCATACCTTCCTGGAACATATATAATTATAAACAAATATAAACTCTCAGGTAGAAATGAAATAAAGGCAGATGAGAGCTTGGAGAATGATGATGAGGGAGGTGTGCATATTTTAGATCAGGTGACAGCTGGGGGAGAAGAGCATTTGTGTGTCAGCTGGTAGAGAAGCAGAGGATGAGACAGGAGTCCTCATGCCCAGCTTCTTGTGCCCTCCCCAGCTCGGGCCCCTCCTCCCAGATGGGTCCACGCTCACCTGGCTGGTGGCTCAGGAGATCCCTCTGGCCCTGGACATTGCCTAGCCATGGCTCTGGCCCTCGCTCAAACTTACAGAAGAGCTCTGGGTTGGCAATAGCTGCTCCTGAGTCAGGAACAGAGAGAGGCACTATGAGGCCCTGGATACAGGTCACCGTATTAAGGAGGGTCTGTCTGTGACATCCTCTCAGCATCGTAAGATAATTGGTCAGGGAGGCAAGTAGGACTCTAGACGGTTTAACACAGTGATTTAGAAACTCAGATACCCGTGAGGCCCCTAAAACAATGGGGGACTAAGCGACAGCGATGAAGGGCACAAGTTAGGCTCTGCGCCCTCTTTGAGGCTAAAAAGGTATGAAGACTATTGGTGCAGAACAGGGGTTCACAAACTTAAATGCTGAGAGGGACAGACCGCTAATATAACTGAGAAAACCAGCCGGGGGTCGGGGCTGGGGCACCTGGAGGATTTAAACCGTGTGTGGGGACTATGCCGCTCCACTCCAGGAGGAGGCTGCCATGTGGAACGCTGGCTCAGCACTGCCAGACTGTCTCGCTTTTCAAGAGAAGCCAGCAATCATATTTCCATGTGAAAACTCCCAGTGGTTAAATATTGACAACTTATTTAAATATTTTAAAGAAGTCAAACAAAAGTGATGAAAGCGGAAAAAAAAAAAAATAAAGGTGTGGGCCAAATCTGGCCCATGAGCTGAGCTGCTACTTCTTGTTTAAAACAATCAGTAGTTTGTTTCAAATTGTGTTTACCAGGCACGGAACGAAGACCCAACCCAGCCACAATCCCTCGATCCACAGAGAGCTGGGACCGTTGCTCCCATACCCCTCAGACAGGGGCCAAGATGGAAAGAATAAATGAAAGGCAGGGCAGATGGTCATCAAATTGAAATCGGAAAATAGTACATATGTGTGTACACACATGTTGAAACACAGTCACCTCTGTCCGTGGTACAGAAGGTCTACCCGTAGAAGCAGAGAAATGACATTCAGAAAACAGAAAAGATGAAAAATACCCACATGGGCACCGAGTTTTAAGTTGCTTTATCTCATTAAACCTCTAGGACAACCCTCTGAAGAAGGACACCAAGGCTTAAAACGGCCAAAGGGCTTGGCCATGGTACACAAGCGTTGCCTGGGGGAGGTGGGACTGAGACCAGATTTTCACACTCCAGATCTCATGCTCCTTCTATCGCCGCCCACCACCTCCACTGTCCTATGGGCACCCAAATCCACCTTGCAGCTCCACAGACCACAGGCGGGGCTTCCCACCTGGCACCCTGGGATATCCTGAGACATCAAGGTCTAGCCTTGACGTGCCTGATTTCCCCACTTCTCTCAGCCAATTGAAGGGGAGAAGAGAAAGGGTGGTGTGCGAATCCGTGTGCAGTGAAGTTAGACATCAGACTGAACAGATGAATAGTGTAAAGATGCCTGAAAAAAACAGCAGGATTCCAGAAAATGCTCATGTATGTTATGGTCTGGGTAAGGTCGAAAATGCTGATCTAGATTCAGGGTGGTGGAGAAGTGAACAGGAACCCATACCCAGTGGTGCCACCAGCTGGTCAGAACCATAGATTTCCTTCTGTTGCTGACTCAGCAGCATCCACTCCTCCTGAAGCAAGTACACCGTGATGTCATCAAACGTCACAGGAGCCTGAAAGGAAAAATGACACCAGGTAAGCACCAACTTCTTCCTGGGATCAGTCTTCCACACCTGTGTTCAAGACCACCTGAGGGCACCCCTACTCTGGGAGAGTATCAGATTTGCAGCAGGGGGGTGGGGTGGCGGGGGAGCATTGTCAATCTATATATAAGACCTACATCTCATCTTTCTCAACACCTGGAAGCAAGTCACAGCGGAAATGAGACTGATTCTTTCTGGAAGGGCCACACACTGAAACAAGTCATAAAGAAGGCTGACTCAGGAATTTCATAATCCTTTCCCTGCATGCTGTTCACCTGCCTTCCCACAGGGCCCATTCCTTCTCAGCCAGTGCCTCAGCAACAACTTACAGCACATCCTTTTGCAAAACCTTGAACATGGTAAATCTTCACTTAGGAAGATATATCTGATTTCCAGAAATAGTCAAAAGTCACTCAGAACTATGTCTGTGCATGAAATTGATGAACAAGATAGGCAAAGCTTTAGAGCTGAGAAATATGTCACATGGGGCTTGTAAAGTAGCTCTGTCCACCAAAAAAGGGGTGAGGGATTTCAGAAAATGTTTTGGGGAGTTCTGGATTAAAATGGCAGATTGAACAAGTACAGGGAATTTTGCTTCCTCCCTGTGAATTTAAAAGACATTCTCCTACCCCAAAACTCCAAAACAAAGCACCAACTAGGATGGGGAACAACAAGTGGACAACAGCAATACAATTTTGGAAATTGAAAAACAGATAAAAAAGTAATAACTGAGCATATCCAAGAAAATCTAAGATCATCCAGCAGTGGGCAAACTGAGAACCCAATTTATACCACTAAATCCTCAAAATGCTCAGCATCTGGCAGCAGCGGGAACCTCTGGCCTGGGAGTGAAGCTAAAATAACTGAGGAATTGGGGAAGGCGGTTCCCCAACAGATGCCTGCCCAGATTCTCCTACATGAGTCTCCGAGCTGACAAGCCCCTCCTTTCCACCCGCTCAGAGTTTCCAGTTAGAATGTTGGTTTTCCACTGATAAGTGTCAGCAAACAACTGGACTACCAGACATCTGAGGAAAGGCTCTAACAGTGCTGATAGAGACAAAAACAGATAGGGGTGGAGAAAGGAACTGAAGAAATGGAGGGGAGGCATGGGGAAGAATTTAAAAAAAAAGGTCATTAACAGCCTCAGAGAGGTAAGATATTGTAGAGATGAAACAAAGTTATAAAGAAATAATCAGAAAACCTTGCTGTGTTTATCTTTTTAAATTTTGTACCATGAAACTTTCTCACCTAGTCAAAGAAATAAAAAATAAATAAATAAAAATTACCAACAAAAAATAAATTCCCGACCCCCAAAGAAAAACATTTTGGGAAAATAGCATCCTTGGAGTAAGTATAAGTCTTATACGTAAGTATAAGACAACTCTGAAGGGGACACATTCATGTCCATTTATAACAAGTTCTAGTAAGTTTGTTTAAAATTGCCTTGTAACTTTATACTCAAATTTCAAGCACATGAAATATCTATTTTAACTTCAACAGTAGAAGTTTCTTGTGAAAAACAATACAGATAATTCTTATCAACTGCTATTGAATTGTATATTTAAAAAATAATTTGAGTATTTTTCTTATGAGTCAATACATGTTCACTGCAAAAAATTTAGACAATAAGCAGAAAAAATGTTCTAAGATCACCCACAATCCCTTACTGAAAAAGAATTACTAATAACATTTAGTATGTAACCTTCTAGTCTTTTGTTTATGTAAATGTAACCTTCTAGTCTTTTATGAATGTGTAAGAAAGAAGTTTTAAAAACAAAAATGGAATTGTACTGCCAAATGTGTATGTTTTAAATAACTATTTGCTCTCAGAGTGTCTTCCAAAGCAAAATGTGATTATATTTCCAAAGACCTACTGGAGGATAGGCCCCACTAAAAGAAGGCAGTCAGACAGGAAAGGGTACACAAGATACAGCCTAAGGAGAGCCAATGTGGGGGAGGGGGACGAGAACCCTTGAGATTGTGCTGAAGGCAGATCCAGGATGATCACTGTACATCAGGACGAGAGGGCAAGCTGTTCCAACTGGGGCAGGTTAAAAAATTTGTGACCAAGGAAGAGCAGGGCTCCCTATTCGCACCAACTCACCCTGTCCCCCAGAGGGAACAGGTGGGCATAATGAAAGCCAATAGCCCCATCACTTTAGCTCCCCAAGGATGAAGAGAATGGCCAGGACTGAATGTTTAGATAATAAAGAAGTGTCTTCCCAACAAGAGTGATTACTCTAACACCTGGTACCTCCCTTTTAACCAATATTATGGCAAGAGCCTTCTGATTCCAGTTGACTGCACTGTAAAGAAGACACAAATCTGCTTGAATAAGAGGAACTCCTTATCTACATATAAAGCAAAGAATATCTCTGGACGTTCTCTTTTAGTGATTCCCACTGTCTACAGGGTAGAGCTCTGACCTCTCAGCCCAGCATGAAGTCCCCTCAACCCGAATCTAACCACCTTCCTAACCTGAGCTCCAGGTACTGCCACGCTTGGAATCTCTACGACAGCCAGATTAGTATAATTGTAATCACTGGACATATCTTGCCCCTTTCCTCCCTCTACATACCCAATCTCTAGACTCCCCAACTCTGTCCATTTCCTCCAGCTACTCATCCATCAAGTTCCTATTCACACTCCATCTCTTTCATGAGGGCCTAACCACCTAACCACATGGCCCAAGCATTTCTTTCCCTGAGTAAGGAAGGCTTTATATCCGTCGTGGAGCCTGCTACTCAGGAAGCCTATGGCTTGTTTTATGATCCCCTTCACCATCACCTCCCCTCTCCCCACCACCACTTATATAGAAAGTATTTCATAGGCACTTAATTTTTTCATTCAACATATATTATTTGTTTCTATGTGCTTGGTGCATGGCAATCTTAAGATATGAAAAACACTATCTCTATTGTCAAGGAGATAAAAATCTATCAGGAGGTGATAGACAACTATGATATAAGTGCAATAATAGAATTGTGTCCAGAGAAAAATAAGGAAGTGATCACTTCCATGGGAAAGACAGAGGGGGTTAGGAACCAGAAACGTTGAGGCAATAAATACAGGCATGAATCACCACACATCAGCCCTCTATTTGGCAGCACCAACAATAGTCTCCCAGAGGGCACAGGATGGGTCAGACTGCAGTGTTCTTCATAGCACCCATGCCTTGTAGCAAAGGGCTCCTATAGTGATGCTATTTTATGAGTCATTCATTCAAAAAATACTGTCTGACACACCACTTGTCAGGCCATGCTGTGGCAGCATCCCACATAAAGTGGAGGAAGATGGGCACAGGTGTTAGCCCAGGGCCAGTCTTCCTCAGCAAAAAGAGGAGGATTGGCATGGATGTTAGCTCAGGGCTGATCCTCCTCACAAAAAATAAAAATAAAAAAAAATACTGTCTGAGAACCTATCAAATGCCAGGGGCTGCTCCACTGTTCAGCTGGGGATACAGCAAAGTAACATTAACAAACATGTAAATAAATAAATAAATGTAAGAATTCTGTATAGTGATAAGGGCTGGAAAGAAAATAAAACAGGATAATGGGATAGAGTCATGGAGAAAAGTCTTTGATCTCTATCCATTATTCTGCCAATGACAGGCAAGATACCCCACATACAATCCAATGGGCCAAGACTGCTTTTAGTCAATAACTATCACAAAATGGCACCAAAAGGAAGATTCTAATAATAGACCATGCTATCTCAAGTGGACCCCCAGTCTCCAGCTTTGAGCCAAAAATGATACTCAGAATGGAGCTGTAGAAGAGCATAGCTATTCCACCCAGGTCTTAGTTATTGTCACTCATTTGCAACACATCTTAGACTGCCAGTTTGTTTTGCAATCACTTTATTTCACCTTTGGATAATGTTCTCATTTCCCAGGTTAGAAAACTTATGCACTGGGGAAGAGTGAGTATCTTTTTGATGATGCCCTGCAAATAAGAGTAGATTCAGCAGTTAAATTTCCAGTCCTCAGGGCTTTCAATTAGTGGTTGGGCCTGAAAAGGACATCAAATTTCTCCTCCACCTCTCTAAATGTTTGTATTTCTCTCTTCTCCCATTAATGGCTAAGAAAACCTATAACTGAACAGAATAGCTTGAAATCAACCTCAAATCACTAATTCCAATTTTCAATGCCAATTGTTTATAACCTTTCTTCCCCACTACATGTTGCTCCCCCTCATCCAAAATCAGCTTCAACCGAAACTGATTGGGGGATATTATGTGACGGTAAGGGCCATTTCCTTTACTTTTTTGGTATCCCCTATAGTGCTTAACATAAGGCTGGCACATAGTTCACCTTCAATCTTCCTTTAGTTCGGTTCTGTTTAGCTTTATTGTCTTGAATTTCTTACTTTGTAGGTTGTTTCATCTGGAAAATGCATCACTGTAACTTGTGGAGGGGAGGGAGTATGGAAAAGATGTTTAGGCAAGGAAGAACTTCTTTTGTAATTCAGAGTCCTTCCCAGTCTTTGCAGGAAAAACAGCAGCATCAAAATAATCTCATTATCCTTTCTCTCTTTTGTCTGTGGGACAACCCTTCCGGGCTTGTCCAAGTTACTGAAGTGAAAATTGCAGGAGAGCTCCTTGAGGAACGTGGTCATTTCATATTTATCTTTATACTTCCAGCCTCTGGTTCAAGGTAAATCACAGGTCACAAATGTTTATTAAATGAACAACAAAAAATTTTAAAGGAGGGACTCAATCAGCACTCAAAACGTCTGTTGAGGTAATTCCCTGTGTGCCCAAGAAGAAACAATCCTCAAGAACCGGCAGCAAAGAACATCCACGAAGATCTTAGTTCCAAGAGGCTGCCACTGTCTCCAAATGAAGTGCCTACGACCACGCTGGTCTTTGCTGACACTGCCTTGGAGCTCTAGCAATCCGCTGAACCCACTTAACTCTACCTTCAAGCACTTCTTCCCACCTTTTCTTCCAACTCATAGCCTCTTGCCCAAAGCCCCAAGCAAGTTTATGAAATAAGGCTTCTAAGCAATGCTCCGATACTCCATGAAGCAGATAAGCTAGAAACAGAAGTCGGCAAGAAATATGCCAATGCCTTTTTCTTTTCTTCTCAGCCCTTTCTTAAGAAGGGGGATCTGAGCAGGACCAAGCCCTCACTCTGCCTCTCGGTGAAGGTGATCCCTACCCCTTGGCTCCACTGGGGTCTTATTCAGCCTGGAAGCCTTAAAACAACCTGGGCCTCTTCAAAAAATGCCATTGGTGGTGTGGGAAAGCAGGAAGCACTTTCGCATCACTACACTGAGCGGGTCACCCACCCCAGCATCAACCGAGCTGCCACTCGGCGGAGAGCGGCTGGCCAAGCCGAAGACGGAGCGGAGCCGTGCGTCCGCTGCTCCCTGGGCCACCGCCCAAGTGCAGACAGCGGAAGAGGCGGCGGGCGAGCGGGCGAGCCCTTCCCTGCAAGACTGGCTCATCTGCGGGAACTCCGCCCGTAGCGCCCGCCTCGCCGGAGCGCAGATCAGGGATCTACGGGAGGAGAGTGGGCGGCCCCAGGGCCCTTCCAGGCCTACCTTCCCCGACTCCCTGGGCTCCATGGCCCCGCTTTCGGTGGCCCGTGCCGACCCCGCCACTGCCTCCAGGCCCCTCCCCCCGCGGCCTGGCCAGAGGATGCCGCCGCCGCGACCACCTTAGGAATGGGGTCCCCTGGAGGGGAGGTCGCCCCGGCCGGGAGGGAGCGTGGCCAGGAACTAGATCTCCCACGTCGGGGGGCGGTAGCGCTCGCAGAGCCGGGAGAGGCGCGCAGCTGGGACTAGCGTCGTGCCGAGCGAGCCGCTTTACGACAGCCGCCTAGCCCGAGGTGAAGGGGCATCACGGGAAGCGTAGTCTGGCCTCGGTAGGCGGCTCTCAAAGCTGCTATTGGCTCCCCGAATGCTGGGTCCTGATTGGACGCCGAGCGGCTCGATCCTTGCCTTTCCTTCCTCCCTCCCGGGTGATGGTTACTGGGTAACGTCCCCTCAACGCTCTCCCAGACCCTGCAGTAGGGCAAAGCGCTCTAATTAGGCTATGAGATTCCCTGTTCTTGCGTCAGTTGCCTCGCAATTTTAGGGCCAATGTTCACCTTGAAGGTTCCAGACTTTATTGAATCAAGGAGGGCAATACTTTTCTTAGTTTCATTCAAAAAGCATCATTGGTTGCCTACCATGTGCCAGGCACTGTGCAAGGTTTGGGAATGTAACAAAATTGAATGTAACAAAACCCTTGCCTTCAAGGAATTCAAAGTCTATTGGGGAAACAGATGAGAAACAGATAATTACAAAATGAAGAGACAAAGTGCAATGAAAGAGGTAAGCAGAAGACCCTAATAAAGCATGCTGTCACCTTAGAGTGCGGTGATGGGAAGATATGGTGGTTAGTCAAGGATTTCCTGAGGAAGTGGTGCCTGAGCTGAATTAAAACAAGAGGTAGGAGTTAGCCAAGTAAAGGAGGTGCTACGGACAGAATTGTACCCCTCCCCCCAATTCATATGTTGAAGCCCTAACCCCAGTGTGATGGTATTTAGACATGAGGCCTTTGGGAAGTAGTTAGGTTTAGAGGAGGATAGCAGAGTGGAGCTCTCATGATGGGATTAGTGCCCTTATAAGAAGAAACACCAGAGAGCTTGCCCTCTCCGTCCTGTGAGGAAATAGTGAGAAGGCAGCTGTCTGTAAGCCAGGAAGAGAGTCCTCACCAGAACCCCACTGTGCTGGCACCTTGATCTCAAATTTTCAGCCTCCGGAACTGTGAGAAAATAAATCTTTGTTGTTTAAGCCACCTGGTCTATTTTGCTATGGCAGCCCAAGCCGACTCAGACAGACAATTGGGTATAAGAAAGAGCATGAGCAAAGCTAGAGAGATAAGCAAATGGTATGTGCACGGACAGTGTGTAAGACAGGAATTTATGGGAAACGACGCTGGAGAGATACACGGGGGCTGGATGTGGAAGACATTGTATGCTACCTTAAGGAGTTTGAAATGCGTTTTAAGCTGGTGAATGGTGTAGGCAAATTTGCACTTTAGTTGGATCAGTCCTATTGCAGAGTAGAGGGTGAATTTAAGGGGGAAAAGACTAGAAGAGAGAAGACCAAATGCTATAAATATATACTTTCTCTCCTCTCTTATCTCATCTTCTTTAAAAGATATAAAATTATATAAAGTAATGATTATAACAATGTATTGTTTAGTTTGTAATATATACGGATGTAATGTGTATAATAATAATAATACAAATAATACTCAATGTATTTTTACATGTGTACCATGTAGCCCCCACCCAGATGAGATATAGAAAATTTCCAGCACTCCAGAAAGCTCCTTGTGGCCCTCCCAGTATGTATGCATAGAGGTAGAACTACAGAAAGTAAAGAACTGAAATTAACTTTAGGAGAGAGGGAGGCAGGTGTGGTTGGGAAGGGACACTGGGAGGTTTCTGGGGTGAGAACAGTGTTCTATTTCTAGACCTGAGTGGTGGTCACCCAGATGTTTGTTTTACAATTATTCATTAAATTGTGCATTTGTGTATTATGCACTTTTATGTATCTGTGTTCTGTCACAAATCAAAATTTTAAATAAAAAATAAAGCAAATATAGTTTATATTTTAAAATTTTATTAAGACATTGCCATTCTGATTGTTAAATATTTTGGTTATCATCCCTGGGTAGGTCCCAAATAACCATTTTCTATTATACGACCCTGCTCTCATGGCCCTGGTTGAATAGAGCTAAACTCAGCAGGGTCGATAAGAAAACCTTCTTTAGGAATGTGAGAAAGATTCAATCCTTCTTCCTATATGACCTTGTATTAGGCGGCTCAGGTTCCCATAACAACATACCATAGACCATGTGGTTTAAACAAGAGACATTCACTTTCTTACAGTTTTGGAGGCCAAAAGTCCAAGATCAGGGTGCCCGTACGGTTGGTTTCTGGTGAGATCTCTCTTCCTGGCTTATAGGCAGCTGCCAACTCACTGTGTGCTCTTGGGGTGTGGGCAAAGAGAGCAAGCTCTCTAGTGTCTCTTCTTACAAGGACACTAACCCCATCAGGGCCCACCCTTATGACCTCATTTAACCTTAGTTACCTCTTTATAGGCCCTATTTCCAAATACAGTGACATTGGGGTTTAAGGCCTCAACATATGAATTTAGGGGGATACAATTCAGTCCACAGCCTTGTGTGCTTTGAGCAGCCCCCTTCTGCCAGGTCCACTCACTGGCAGGGGAGTCTGCATTTCTGAGAAAGAAGAATGAGACAGACACACATGAAATGAGGAGAAGATGGAGAGAGGACTCCAGATGGCCTTCTAATTCCTAGCTCCCAGGCATAGCCATATCACTATCTTGGAGAGCTATATTTCTGCCGAGGAGTTATCTCTGCATTCTTATAACAAATTCTCCTTTTTGGGTAAAAAAGTTGGAGGTGAAGTAGTTGAGATAACTAAGACAGATATTCTTTTTGATAAGTTTATCCATGAAAAGGCCCAGAAAAATGGGCAATATCTAGAAGAAAATGTGTGGTCAGGCAGGGGGCTAAGACGTGAGACACAAGGTCATGTTTCTGTGTTGATAGGAAGGGAACTGATGATTCTGCAAAGATGGGATGAAGCAAGGGCCCAAGTCCTTGACAAGGGAAGAGGACGTAGGACTGGAGTACAAAGGACCCTTTCCAGGTGTGTGGACACTTCTAGATGATACCAGGAGGGAAGGAGGAGAAGATGGAGTAGATGTAAGTTTGTTAGTAGATTTACTGAGAGAATTCCCATCTGATGATGTCTCTATGAGACAAGGTCATCTCATGAAAATGAAGTGGGGGGAAGAGGAGAAGGTGTGTGTAGCCGTCTCAGAGAATGGTAAATAGGGCTTATGGGGAAACATAGTAAGTAGGATGGCCAACTTGAATTAAAGGCCAATTTGAGGTTTGTGATCACACACTTAAGGTAAAAACAGCCCATCTGCAAAATTCTGTCCAGAAGCAGAAACTTGGGCAGATATTTGGGTTGGAGTATGGGTATGGGTATGAAAATGGGTATGAAGGAGGGGACAGAGAAGCAGGCGAGTTAATGGTGTTTGCACTGGAGAATTATACTGATAGAAGGTGACTCTCAATTCTAGCTAACTGCGCATTAGGAATACCCATGGAGATTTCAAAGAGCCTGATTTCGTGGGTCCAGGGTGGAGCCCGGGCATTGGTTTTAGATGATTCTAACATGCAGTTGGTGTTGAGAATCACCAAGAGGACCATGAATCTCAGCTGAATCCTGAGGGGAGATAGCAAGGGGCTAACGAAAAGTATGAACCTGGTGGGCTCAATGAATTTGACATCACAAAAACAGCAATAAATGATAGCAGTGGGGTCTAGGGCAAGTAAGCTGGAATGATAGGAAGTCATGATTGGTAAGTAAATAATAGAAAGTGTTTGAAAATGGTCGAGTTGTGGGAGTGGATTCTCAAGGTGGAAATGAAGGAGAAGGTCATTGTCGGTTAAGGGATGAGAATATAAGACCAGAATCTTGAATGGACTCTCCACATGGACACTGAAAACACTGAAAGTTCATGGAAAGGAGTATGACCCATGAGCTGAAGTCTTCTCTGGATGATGGGAAGAGACCAAGGTGGCAGTTAGGAGCAGAGAGGGTGGTATAGCTGGGTGGCACAAGCTACACAGGAAGAGATCTCTTTGCGGGAGAAAGAGGGAGAACTGGCCAGCAGAAACCATGAACATGAGCATCACAGAAGCCAAGGATCTCTCTTCCTGGCCCTGAGGTGGGATGAGGGAGAAATACCAGCTTCCAGGTGAATGGGGACTTCAGGGAATAGATAACCTAGTTTCAGAATTACATGGTGGTGGGAGAAACATTTGGAAGTGTCGACAATAGAGCTGAGTCTACTGATGACACAGCAGGAGTTTCAGAGGGCACGGTGGGGGACTGGAAGGAGAGGAGGTGTGGGGAACTGGGTCAGAGCAGGGGATTTACAAGCAGGATGGGAATGAGATGTGATGTTGAGAGACGATTCTGAACACCAATGAAGTAAACAGAGCGTGGAACGTGAGGAGCTAGTCTCTTGAAACACAGTGGGCCTCTCCTTTCAATTGTCGTCCCAAATACTTAGCTTGGCAATGTGGCTTCTGGCCGGCTGTTTTCCCTGGCTCCACAGAGTGGGATAGGACTTTGGAGGTGGATAAAACAGGGATTATATAAGTAGAGCAACTGGAAGGAGGAGTAGAGTTATGGGAAGAGGATGAGTGGAGCACAGTTCGTAACACGATGATTTTAAGAATCTAAGTGACATCCAGGTTGATATTCTAGTTGGCAGTTGAATACACAAGTGCATAGCAAGTGTAACCTGTCTGGAAGGACAGAAATCATGTGGATAATCAAATTATCTGCTTTACTATAAGGAATGTCAATCCTTTTACACACTTTCCTTCCCAAATATTCCTGACAGTCCTTCTCCATAGAGGGATAAATGTGATCAAGAATCAGTAGTTATCACTGGTTGCCTGTTGCCACCTAGTAGGAGAGTAGGGACACCTGCCTGGCATTTGAAGCCAAACTGAGAACACTGACTAGCCGTGCAGGCCTACGATGGAATGAAGGATTTCTAAAGTGTTCACCCCTGCCCGCCAAAGATATCCACCCTAATTCCCAGGCCCTGTGGATATGATAAGATGTCATTCCCATGATTGCGTTACATTATATGGCACAATAGACCTTAAAATAAGGAGATTATCCTGTATTATCCACATTAGGTGGGCCTAATGTAGTCCATGAGCTCTTTAAAAAGCAGAGAGTTTTCTCTGTCTTTGGGCAGAAAGGAAGTAAAAAAGATTTGAGGCATGAGGGGGAATTGATGTGCTGTTGCTGGCTTGAAAATGGAGGGGGATGAACACAGCCTTAAAGAGCAGAGAAAGGGGCCAGCCTGGTGGCGCAAGCAGTTAAGTGTGCACGCTCCGCTGCGGCGGCCCAGCGTTCACCGGTTTGGATCCTGGGTGCGGACCAACGCACCACTTGGCAAGCCATGCTGTGGAGGCGTCCCATATAAAGTAGAGGAAGATGGTCATTGATGTTAGCCTAGGGCCAGTCTTCCTCAGCAAAAAGAGGAGGATTGGCAGATGTTAGCTCAGGGCCAATCTTCCTCACAAAAAAAAAAAAAGAGAGAGCAGAGGGAGCTGACAGCCAGCAAGGTGGCAAGGACCTTAGTCCTACAACTGCAAGGAACCAAATTCAGCCAACAATTTTGATGAGTTGGGAAATGGATTCACGCCTAGAGCTTGCAAATAAGAGCCTCATCTGGCCAAAACCTTGATTTTGGCCTTGTGAGACCCTAAGCAGAAAACTGTGAGATAACAAAGAGGAGTTGCTTTAAGTTCTTTGTTGAGTTTAAATAATTTGTTACACAGCAATAGCTACCTGAAACAACCACAGAGATGCTGCTTTGATTGGGCTGCCCTTGCACAGTGGTCTCTATTGTCTCCTGTTTGGGATCTGTCACCATTTCTGCCACAGTTGATCACTGGTGCAGCCAGATACCTGCCAGGCTCATCACTGGCACTGCCACTGGTCTACTGGGGGATATACCATTGAATTCCCTGGGGGCGATGCTCTTTCAACATATTACCTTCAAGTGTAGGAGAGAGAAAATACATTTCAGTATTGACCTAGGGCTTAGATTTTCTAGAGGATGGGAGAAGGATATAGGGTATGAAGGAATTGAAGATGCTCATCTACACTAGTCAAGGAAGAAAGAGGAGCTAGGCAGGAGCTGATAGATTTAGAAAACAGAAGGACCCAGATCCTGGAGGAGGAGGAGGAGAAAGCACAGGAGTGGTGTGGGAGAACCTGTGACAGCTGGAAGGGCAAGAAAATGAAGTCAAAGAGTGAAACAGAAAGGCTTTGCAGGAAGGAACACTTTCTAAGAAACACATAATAATTGAATATGCTCACTGGCAGCCCCTTTCAGGAATCCCACTGATTTGGCACAATAGGGCCCTCATTTAGGACCTCACCTCAAACAATTCAAGTTCTCATTGCTCACGCAAGAGCCCCCCTTCCTGTGTCCCATTTTATTAACTAAAGATCCTTCTTCCTTTTCCTCTCTCCCTCAGGCCCTCTCCCCTTTGCTGATAACTCTAGCTGGATGGGACTCTCACTTGTGGGGACAGTGTGAGGAATTTGAAGGAGCAGAGGGTAACACATAGAATCATTGGGCACTGGAGCAGAAGCATCCAGCCTGGTTCCTTCCCTCTCTACTCCATCCTGGAAGCAGAGCCAGAGACAAAGTCTTGGTCCTGGAAAGTGATTCCAGAGAGAAGGCCTGGGACTTGGGAGAGTGAAGCAGGGAAGAGGAAAAACTGATAGAAGACCTTTTAGAGATCACTGCTGTAGACATCAGGGGCTTCATTCCACTTCTGAGAATTACACAGAATGCCCCCGAACAATGGGGTGGAGCGTCCATCAGCAGCTCCATCCCCAGCAGTTGAGGGCTGCCACCAGACGCATTAACTACATCCCATCCTCACACGCGCACTTCTAGCTGTGCTTGTACAAAGGCCAAGTGGACTCTCTGTGTGTCAGAAAAGCCCCGGGCAGAAAGCAAAAGAAGCTTGAAAAGAAGATACTCGATGGCAAATCAGCATATGAAAATAAAATGCTCACATCATTAGTCATGAGGGAAATGAAAATCAAAACTGCAATGAGATACCACTTCCCATCCACTGAATGGCTGTCAAAAAATCAAAAAGACAGACAATAACAAGTGTTGACAAAGATGTGGAGAAACTGGAACCCTCGTACGTTGCCTGTGGGAACGTGAAATGGGCCAGCCACTTTGGAAACCAGTGTGGAAGTTTCTTAAAAAGTCAAACATAAACTTACCATATGACCTAGCAATTCCACTCCTAGGTATACACCCACCAGAAGTAAAAACATGCCCAGGGACTTGTATACGAATGTTCATAGCAGCTTTATTCATAATAGACAAAACAATGAAACTACTCAAATGTCATCAACTGGTGGATGGGTAGACAAAATGTCATATATCCACACTCAGATTACTATGCAGCAACCAAAGGAACAGCTGCTGATACATGCTGTAATATAGATGAACATCAAAATCATCATGCTAATCAAAAGAAACCAGACGTTTATATGAAATGTCTGGAAAGGGAAATCTATTGAGGCAGAAAGCTGTTTAGTGGTTGCCTGGGGCTGCTGGTGGGAAGGACTGATTGCAAATAGGCATGAAATGATGGAAATGTTCTAAAACTGGATGGTTGTGATGTTTGTGCAACTTTGTGTATTTCTATAAAAGTCACTAAAGTTTAGACTTAAAACAGGCGAATTTCACAGTATGTGAATCATGCCTCAATAAAACTTTGAAGAGGGAGGAGAAGAGCTGATGGCAGCACGAGCCGAGCTGGAGCTTGCGTGGAAAGGCCACAGCGCTGCAGCTGAAATCACATGGGCGCAGGGCGTGACCTGGGGCACCGGTGATGTCTAACACCAGAGACCTTCAGACGTCATATTCAACCCGCTACAGATGGAGAAACCAAGGCTCAGGCATGGGAAGTGACTTGCCCAAGTTCACCAGCCATGGCCGATTCACAGAGGTCCCCAGGAGACAGTCCTTGCACAGGTCCAGGCCAGGGCTCAGACCCACCCTTCCTCCCTTTCCCCTCTGGGCCCGAGACGCAGACTCTGCACACAGCTTGCTGCCAATGTCACTTTATTTGGGATATGCTAGTGCCAGGGCAGGGAGTGGATGCGTGGGCATGGGAGGACGGGTCAGTGCTGCTGAGGCCGGCGATCACGTGCGTGGCAGCGGGGCATCTCCTGCAGAGCCCTCAGCGCTTTGAGAAATCACCTCCTGGAGGACAAATGAGGGGGAGATGTGCTAGCAAAAAAGGCAGAGTGGTCGGGCCAGGCAGGGATGGGGCTGAGAGAGGGCAGCGGGAGCAAACTGGCAGAAGAAGGAGGAAGAGCCGTCAGGAAGAAGCCCAGAGCAAAGGCAAGCTCCTGCCCTGCGCTCCACCCGGGTGGTGTTGGCGCCCTTCCACCTGATTCTCTCTCACCTGCCCACTGCGTGGCCTCTGGTTATCACACACTAGGTACTTAACAAGAAACAGGCGGCCGCCGGGCGCTTCACACCAGGCACACTGCCAGGCTTGCTCTCACCAAGTCCTCCCAACAAGCCTGTGCAGACTGTCAGCCCGGTTGTGAAGATGAGGTCGTGGGGGCTCAGCAAGGAAGGAGAGAGAGGAGCTGGGATCTGAACTAGGTATGGCGGACTCCAAACCCCCAAGTTGACATGCGATTGGAGAAGAAACGAACAAGAATGCTCGGAAGGGGAACGGAGGGGCTCAGAAGGGTTCAAGGAAGAAGAATCCGGCGAGGGGCAGTGTGGTGGGTAAAGGGGCCTGGTTCGGAACAACCGCCCCACCCCCATCGGAGACCTGGCCCCGCCCCCATCGGAGACCTGGCCCCGCCCCCACCGGAGACCCGGCCCCGCCCCCGCCAGAAGCCCCGCCCAGACCCACCCTGGCAGGCGCTGCACTGACAGCTGTGGATGACCGGCAGGACGACCGGCTCTGTGTGGCCGCCTGGACAGCGCAGGTTCAGGATCCGCACGGGGGTCTCAGGGTCCAGGCGGTAGCTACAGCAGTCGCACTGGCTCTGCAGGTACGGCTCCTGGGCAAGAGGGGTAACCAAGTTGGGCAGGGGCCAAACTTCCTTCCCTCTCTTGGCCTTTCCCATCCAAGACGGCTGGGGCCAAAGGAGGGCCAGATCCCAGATCTCCTCGCGGAGCTGGGCAGCGAGGCAGGGGAGGGATGTCACCACCAAGAAGCCCACCTCCTTCGCTCCAGCCCCCACCCGTCTGAGCGTCCACATTGTGCAGGTTACAGGAATGCTTTCACCGTGCCCATCACTGCGTCCTGGCAGCAGGGGGAAAGACATAGCCTACCCCAAGGGGCTTACAGGCTAATGGGAGAGACAGACTAATAATTTCTGAAACTGCAAGTAATGAGGCCCTAAATCGCACAGTTCTGACCCTAAGTGCAAAGTGAGTTCTTGCTCCAAAGCAGACGCCTCCTGCTCTACGATTATATAGTAACTCTGTAAGTCCCACTGAACGTTTGATTTAGTTTTACGCATAATTCTATTCTAACTTTATTTTGAAATAGGTAATACATTCACACAATACCAAGTTTAACTAAAAAAGATTCAGTAAAAAAAATCTCCGTCTGATTTCTAACCCACGATCACTCATTTTTCCTCCCCAGAAAAAAATCTCTTAACTACTCTCCTTTCCTCACTGTATATTTTAAAAAATCCAAAAGTGATGGGGAAGGTACTCCCAGGAGGTGCCAGGAGCCCCCTGGGGAGCAGAAGAGTGGACAGGGTGGAGGACCAGCTAGGATATCACCTTTGTCTTCCAGGAACAGATGACCCAGGGGGGCCGAGGCAGAAGAGAATGGCCTCGCCACAGGTGACCTGAGGCAGTGCTGGGGGCTGAGGTTGCATCCTGGCTAGACCCTGGCAGGATGGAGCTGGAGCCACAGCTCTCCAGGCTCAGGGCTTGGGGAGTCAGGGTAGGTGCAGAGCCCCTAGAGGGTCCGCAAAGAAGCAGAGCTAGGTCTTCTGGGTCCCAGAGGAGCAAGCGCAGTGCGGAGCTCCAGCAGCATCTAGGCCGTGCTCATAGGACTTGCCAGGAAATGTCGGGGACAATGCTGTGTGTAGAAAGTCCATCCCTAAGAGCCTCCACTCACTGTACAATGGGCCTAACCTAGCTCCTCCTGCCGTTCTCTGTGGGTGTCCTGGCTTGCTTGCCTTGAGGGGCACAGTGGGCCGAGGGGCATGCGCGGGAGCTGTGTGGGGCCTCAGCAGGGAGAAGACCACCCTGGGAGGAGCGGAGGCACCCGGCAGGCTCCGGAGCCCAAGCCCTGCTGAGGATCACCCGGCCGGCCAGCAGGTATGGGCCACCACCTTGGTGAAGACTTGCCCTGGCTCTGATCAGCTGCATCCCCGTGAAATGACCGTGTCCCTCGTCCTGGGCTTTGCCTGGGTTCTAGGTTTGTGGCGGCAGGCCCTCGGGGGCCGCTGGCTGACCTGACTCCCCTGGGCTTGTTCACCTCAGGCATGACATTGGTGCTGGATGGGCAGTGCCCACTGCAGTAGCTCACTTCCACCTGGTCCAGGTGGCAGGGGCCCTTGGTGAGGTTGCGAAGCTCGGTGAGGTGCCGGCAGGAGGCTGACTGCTCCTCTGTGGAGAGGGGCAGGTGAGTGGCGGGAGGTGGGGGCAGGGCAGAGAGAGAAGGCGTGATGAGGGGACTCTGTGTGTGGGGGACAGGGGGACAGAGCGTGGAGCTGAGGGGAGCATGTCGGGGCTGGGGTGCCCAGGCGCTGTGATCAGCACTGGAGGTCTTCACTCTGCTAATCCCCACGGTGGGCAGGATTGGGGACGGCGGGCCTTCCATGGCAGGTGTGGGGGTGGTTTGGGAAAAGGGCCCAGAGTAGGCAGAGGCGCGGCAGGAGGTGCCCCAGGTCCCTTGCTTACCCAGAGTCTCCCGGCGGCAAGTGGGACAGCAGCTCCCTGGCTCCTGCACGGTCACCTCGCCCTGCAGAGGGAGTAGTCCCCGGTCCCCTCAGGAGGGTGGCTCCAATGCCCCGGCACTGCCTGCCTGAGGCCCGAAGACCAGCCTCTGGGGAGGGACCCAGGAAGGACCCAAGGGAGCCACTCTGAGAAGGCAGCAGGCTACAGGCGGGTACCTGGGCACAGGTGAGGAGGGGGCAGTGCTGAGTGCAGACACTCTTCCCACCGAGGCAGCGGCAGCTCTCACAGTCCTCCTGCCATTCGGATCCAGGCTGGGGAGAGTAGGGGAGAGACTCCTCTCCATCTATCCACATGCAGACTTTTCTATAATACTACCCCGTCCCTGAGCCCGGCCTGCGGCCAGCCCAGGGCAGTGGCCTGAGACTGGAGTCGGCAACAAGAGTTTCAGGAGGCAGGTGGACCGTTGGGGCCCAGAGACTGTCCCAGTGTGATGGCCGATGGTGGGGCTGCCCACTGCTGCGGGCCCTGGAGCAGGGAGGAGCCAGGAGACAGCCTGTGTCCATAAGGGCTGGGAGGCACGGGGGACTGCGGTGTCTCACCGGGTGTGGATGCCCGCGGTGCCAGCACTCGCAGCGGTCTGCGGGCACGCAGGGGCCTGCCCAGCTGCGGAAGTGCCCGGGCCGGCACACGCAGCCTGGCACCTGCCCTGCACTGCAGTTGCTCTGAGACTCCGTGGTGTTCGGTTCCCGGCATGTCCGCTCACAGGGCCCCGGCTCCCCAGGGTCCACCGGCTGCCACATTTCCCTGGGGGGGCACTCTGCCAGGGAAGACCACCCACCCCACCACATGGGTCAGCCATGGGTCCAGCCTCAATTCTCCCCCCTCGCACACTGGGCACCCCCGTGTCCCTCCTCCCTCCCCATGCACTGCCCACTCGGCTCCAGCAACCTCTGCACTTCTAGGTCTCCAAACACACCTCCCTGCTCTTATCCACCCTCCCAACACTAGTGGGGCCCAGCTCGGTTCTCGCCTCCTTCAGGAAGCCTCCCCTGACCAGTCCTGTCCACCCCAACCTCTCCATTCCCAGCAACGATTTCACATTCTGTGGGTGCAGCTTGCTTGTCAGTGAGCTAGAGACTGTCTCCTATTTCTACCCGTTCTGGTGGGTGAGGGTGGGGGGTGCCTGGGGCTCTCCAGGCCACTGTGTCTCTGAATCCATACAGGGCCCAGTATGGCAGAGCTGGGCTCGTGTGGGCCCTTAGCAAAGGCCTGTCAACCTTGACCAGATGGGGGGGGACAGCACAGGGCAGACACCAGCGGCCTGGGGACTGCCAGGCAAGGGTCCTGTTTCAGTTCACCCTCTAACCTCAGTTTCCTCATCTGCGGGGAAAGCTCCCTCTGCTCTCTGCCTCACTCACGGCCCTGGCTCAGCACACACAGTGCCCCCTGACAAATGCCCCCAACCACCCAGGGGGGACCATGCTGTGTCCAGGGAGCCCCCGGCAGATAGCCTGGTGGGGCGGTGTGGACAGAGGGAGAAGGGGCTTCCTGAAGGAGGCAGCCTTGCCTAGGGTGGGCAGGGCCCTCTCCCCTCATCCGGGTCAGCCCAGCGTTGGCTTTGGAGGGACCAGCAGGGGCCTGAACAGCCCACATCTCACCCTGACAGTCAGCGAGGGAGCAGCTGAAGGCTCCACTTTGGCAGACACTGAGAAGATAGAAGCATGCGTTGAGATGCCTCCTGTGTCCTCCTCCCCACCCCCATTCTCAGCGGCCCCTGCCTCCACCCCCCTCCCCACCCCGCCCCCGGGGCCTCACCAGCGGGTGCAGTTCCATGTGAGCACAGTTCCTGGGGGCAGCTCCCGGACCTGCTCTTCAAGGGTCAGGGTGAGGCCCCAGGGCAGAGAGATCTGGGTGCAGGGGCACGCGGCAGGGGGCACACACGAGCCATTGTGCAGCAGCTGGGACAGCGCAGGCTCCAGTTACACTGGGACCACCGCCTCTTACCCCCACACCTGCCTGCTCCCCAATGTGAGAGTCAGGGCCCAGCGACCGCACCCACCTGCCCTCCAGGGCAGCCACAGCCAAGTTGGCAGGGCTCCTGCACACAGAGGTCACCAGGCTGCAGATGTGAGCAGAGGCGCGGGCACGAGGTGGCACAGGTGCTGAGCACCTGGCCAGGTGGGCACTCTGAGGGGAGCACACAGATAGTGAGGTGGAGTCCTGGGGGGACTGCCTCAAGACCCGCCACCTGCCCTGGTGAGTGCCAGCTGGGGTGGGGGCCTGGGCACGGCAGCACCGAGGGCAGGGCAGGCACCCACCGCTGGGCACTCACCGGGGCAGGGCTGCGGGTTACACTCCTGCCGTTGCTCCGTGTCCTGGGCCTGGCATGGTGTCCCCCAGGGACCCTCCTCGCAGCTCCGACGGCGCTCGGTGGTGCCCCCACCACAGGGAGCTGAGCAGCTGCTCCAGGCTGACCAAGGCCCAAGGACTGGGCACTCATGGCGTGGACACACCAGGGACCCGTTGACACAGGTGCTGTGGACGGGGTGTGCAGAAAGGGCTCCAGCCCCGAGTCAAGGTGAACAGAGTTTTGCTCCCAGCAATGCCCATAACCCTGACCTTCCCCAGGCCTCCCATCCGAAGCTCCCATCCTCCCGCCTGGCCCCCGGTAGGCAGCCATACCAGGTTCTGCAGTCCAGCTGCACCACCTCGGCCGGGGCCAGCACCCATGAGGCATTGGGGCTGGGGAGGCCACAACGGCAAGAGGAGATGGGCACACAGTGCCCGTCCTGTACCAGTTGGCCAGGGGGACAGCGGCAGCCTGGAGTGGGGGTGGGAAGGACAATCAAGATTCGGTGCTGAGGCAGGCACACACGATGGGTCCCTCTAGCATAGATGAAGTCCAAGGCCTCAGGCTGGCACTAGAGCACCCCTTCCTCCTGCCCCCTGCCATGTAACCTGTCTCCACAATATCTCCCACCCCCAAGCTCACAAAGGGGCCTCTCTAGGCCGCCCTGTGTGTGGGACCCACCCCAGGAACCCTTGAGGCCACCTGAGAGCATCCTCACAGACACAGCCCATCTAGACTGAGGCTCACTCTCTGTGGGACCCCCAGCCAGTGGCTGAAAGTGACCCCAGGATCCACTCTGCTGCCCTATAGCTCACGATCCAGCAGTCTGCCCCTGCCCCCAGGCCACATGCTCTCTGGGAGCAGGAGGATGGAGGAGGCCTGGGCATCCCCAGGATTCCCGGGCTGGGCTGTGGGCATGGCCTGGCCACCTGGGCGGCACGGTCCCTGCAGACACTGCACACGGTCCCAGAGGTCAGCACAGCTTCTAGGGCACCGGTTGGCACAGTCAGGGGTGGGCACGGTGTCCCGGGACTCGCAGCTCTCCCCTGAGGACCAGAAGGTAGGAGTCTGTGTTGGGGATGTTCTCAGGCCCCCAAGACGGCACCTGCCCTCCACTGCACGCCTCCAGGGTCAGAGGCAGCAGCCCCCACAGGCCCCATCTCCAACGTTACTGTCCCTGGCCCTCCTCTGGATGCCAGGCTGGGGGTTACCTGGACAAGGCGCCACGCTGCAGCTCTCGGTCTGAGCCCATGGCCCCCGGCAGCCTCCTCCAGGGGGGACCCCTGCCTCTCTCCAGCGTAGCCGGAACCCCCCACTGCAGGGCACCTGGCAGGGGCTCCAGGGCCCCCAAAGACTCCACTGGCATAAGTCTGGGGAGGTAAAATGGAAGTCAGTGCCCAGGGCCCACCTCCCCCACCTCCTGCTTCCACCCCCGGCCTAGGGCTCCAGCCCTGCAGACACCAGCACACCCTGCCCTCCACTCGCCCTCCCGGGCTCCCTTCCTCCTCGCCCAGCAGCTCTTCCACCCACCCTCAAATCCAGCAGGCCCCAGAGGCAAGCAGGACTGCTAGCTAACTACCTGGCCACTGAAGTGAACTACACGGCCCAGGCCTTCCCGCCAGGCCCCCCTCCACCCTCATTCCAGGTCCCTCTCCCTGTTGGCCTAGGCCCCTCCCCATTACCATGGCAGGCTTGAGGGTCCGGGCAGAGGCGTTGCTGGCTGAGTGGCGCGGTGCAGAGGTCTGGGTCCCCGGCCCACGGCCTCCCTGTCTCAGGGTCCAAACAGAGGCGATGGCGGTGCTGCTCTGAAGCCAGCGTGGGGGCCAAGGTCGGGGAGAGGCTGGCTGGGTCCCGGGGCCAGCGCTCCTCTAGGGTAGCCCTGGAGGCAGGGGCCAGGACACCGGCGGGCAGGCAGGGCCCACAGGGCGACCACTCAGACCAGCCGCTGAGAGGCAGAAGACCTAGGAAGGGCAGCGTGTGGGCACCCCACCCAGTGACCCTCCCCACACTCAAGAGACCGCAGCGGGTAGGGAAGGAGGAGCTCGGAGGTGTGACCAGGAAGGCTGAGGGAGGTCTGGGGGGCCAGGGTAGGGTGACCAACCATCCTGGTTTGTCTGGGACTGTCCCAGTCCTAGCAGTGAAAGCTCCAGTCCCCAGCAAACGGGACAGTTGGTCTCCCTGACCAGTTACCTTGACAGCCCCGGCTGGTGCACTGCAGCTCCCCGTGCCAGCATTCACTGTGGGAGGGGGTGTCACGGTGGGCTCTGGGAGGCAGGACCTAGCCCAGAGCAGTGGGCGTGGGGCTCATGTAGGGGTAACCTGAGCTCTGGGCTCATCTGGAGCAGATGAGGCTGAGGCTGGGCTTCTCTGCGGGGTCAGGCTGTCCTGGGGACCCCACACCCTCCCCGCTCCACTCCCTGGCTCCAGCCCTCAGGCGCTGCCTCCTCCTCCCCCATTACTCACCACTCTTTGCAGCCCAGCTGCAGGTGATCCCCAGGGACCAGGGT